ATATTCAAATGCACCATCAGAGGAAACTGCGAAATTATGGGTGGTCTTTTGTTGTACAACAAGTGGGGTTCGCAACATACGAAAAAAAATAAAGAGGATCATGTGGATGAGGCCCGTGGGTGAAAGTCTAGCTGGGAAGTATGCCTGCAATTACTAGGTCCGCTCGACGTCCGTCACAACATATAACCTTTGGTTTAGTGTATTGGACGAGCCGAACATAACTTGTGATGTGTTTGCAAGCCATCAAACAATAGTTGTATTCATCTCTTGTCAAACGAACCGTAGCGTTCGTACTGCGCTCCAACTGCTGAGAACACAGCATGTAAATTAGTGTTGTATGATCAAGATTAAAGGAGAAGGCGATCGACTGATGTCTAATCTTCTAGTCGGAGGACGCTGGGACTAGTTTTCTCTGAACTCCAGTCACTGACCTATCCAGCATGGGTGGTTCTAGAGCCAGTTGGCAAAATTCCACCCAGAATAGACCAAGGAATCGAAAAGCAACGCAAAACAATGTACCACAAGGAATGCTTTAGTAGTAATTAAGTGATGTTGGAGGGAAAGTGGCTTCAACGGCGCCGCGATGTCAACGACTAGCGGAATAACAATTGTAGCAAACAGTGCTACATTTTGACGGTATTTGTTGATTAAAATGGGAGAATTCCAACCCCGAGAACAGCTACGAAGCTGAAAACACATGTTAATACAGTCGTGTCCCTCGCAGCACGGGGAACAGGTAATCACTACCAGAACAAGTGAATGACGCAAGTACGGCGATATCTAACAGGCCTGAACTCGACAACCAGAAACTCAAAATCTGGCGGCCAAAGATTTTCCGAATCACGACAAGTCACGGAACTGCGCCATATAGGAGAGCAGAGGATAAACAACCGAGCAGGCCTAGATTGACTAGGAGGGATTCCAGATGATTATTCTATGGCGGGCGGCAACAAATAGAAAACAGCAAACAATGCGCTAATTAGTACTAACGCAAACTATTGTTTAACTTTGGCTTGTAACCCACCAGTCTATGTACATCCGGTATCACTCACCTGCCTGGAAGTGAACTGACTACTGGTTTGTTCGACGGAGCTGTACGCTACTCGGCGCGTCCCCAGAGGTTGCAGATCGGTAAACGCCTTCCTCGTAAAGGAAACTGTGAATAAGTCTCGGCCGTTCGCAGGCGAAATGAATAAGCAGTCGCGAACAATCAACGGCAGCGTTCTAGAGTGTGGGGGGGGGGGGCTCTGGACTGGTCACCTGGTTCCTCATTAAATACCACAAGAGCTCGCAAGACGCTGTGTCAAAACCAATGTGACCGACTATAGGGTCACTGACCACTCACCTCTGGTCACAGAAGTGAGTACTTAACGGAGGGCGGATGAACAACCTCGATGGCTACTGGCTTCTATGAAGGCGTACGAGCCACCCGGCTGTCAACGACCTTCGTGCTTCGCGACCAGCTCGGTAGTTCCTACTGCTTCACTGGGGCTCTTTGGGCGCCCTGAGTAGTTTGTCTCTACTCGAAGCCGTTCATCATGAGAGCCGGCTCCCAATGGTCGCGGTATACGTCAATCGTCCCGCTGCCTTGCGGGTTAGGTCATTATGACCCAAGGCTCCGGGTGCGATCCCCTAAGTCAACCCTCTTACTCGGCCGGGGCAACCGGGAAGTACTATGCCCGCACAACCTATTGATCCATGTCGCAACAATTCTTCGCTCGCTCTCTCTGCTCTCACTCTCTCGAACAACTCTCATTGGCCGAGGTGCTGGCGGCTGAACTTGCCAAACCACCTTTTACCGCACCACCGTCTAGTCACTTTATTCCACGTTTTCTCACCCCCCTCCGTTTTCGAGTTCACAACATCGTGCCGCCTTGGGCGAACGTTCTCGCCATACGGATCGGGAGCCTAGGTTCGAGGATGCGCCAAGTCGTGTTGACAAGCAATTTCTAGCGCCCCGTTCCAAATTCAAGCTGACAATCTTCAATGTTCGGACGCTGATGCAGATTGGATCACAGGCAGCCCTTGCTCGCACTCTAGAAACTACGACCATTGATGTCTGCTGTCTCAGCGAGACCAGTTTGCAGGACTCTAGCACGACGCTGCGACTAGTTTCACCTTCTGTGAATTCCACTGGCATTTTCACTTTGTGCTTATCTGGAGACTCAACCGCCGAAGCCGCTGGGGACTGCGTTGAGCACGTGCTGAGGCCGCGCTACTAGACTGGATCCCTGTTAACAGTCGACTATGCGCGATCCGACTTGAAACTTCAGTGCGACTGTCCAGGAGCGCAACCAGCAGACGCTGTCTATTCATTGTCGCAATGTACGCTCCCAGATTGCAGCCCGGAGTCAGTTAAAACGAGTTCTATGGTCAACTGGCCGACCTACTCAGTAAAAAGCGCCGTACCGACATCGCGGTGCTCGCTGGGGATTTAAATGCGGTCGGTAGACTTGAAGTTGATGAACGTGAACTCGGTGGTCAACACGGCCATGGCACTCGCAGAACTGACAACGGTGATCAACTACAGGGTTGCGCCGATCACGGTCTCTTTCTGTCGAGCACTAGCTTTCGGGGATCCTGGCGCCAACGCGCCACCTGGAGACCCCCATCATCTGGCCAGCCGTGGACACAAATTGACCCAATCGCCATTAGCTATCGCTGGCAGGTAGCATACAGGATTGCAAATCAATCTGGAGTACCTACCTCACTTCGGATCACGCGCTGGTGTGTGCCAAGGTTGCGCTACGTTTTGACCCTCAACAGCGTCGCCAGAAACGGCTTGACGTAGCTACACTTTATGCCCCAAACGTTCTCTGCGCATTTCAGGATGCCTTGGCCTCACGGATGAAGACTGCCTCGTGCAGATATTGAAGCACAATGGACACAAATCCGCGGCGCCATGTACAACTCTCCAAACCTGATCTGTGACTTCAGCAGTAGTCCTGTCAACCACTGGATCTTTGCACGATCCCTCCAACTTCTCGATGCCTATCGAGCAATTCCTGTTAGCGTTAAATACCATTCACTACGCAAGACTACTAACGCTGAGCTCAAACAGCTTTTTCGGGGAGATCGCGAGGCCTGGTGGAGCAAGCGGCCACCTCGCGGAATTTCCGTAAGCTTTTCCTCCTGATCCGATCTACTGGCGGCAAACGGGCGACCTTAAGCGAAGTTTTATGCGAAACCAATGACGAGCCAACCCACTGTCAAAAACGCCGACTCGAGCGTTGGGCCGAGCACTTTGAGCAGCAGTTTAATTGGCTAGCAGCACTAGTGAGTTCCCATTCTGAAGCCCAGCGCGTTCCCTGGTGTGTAGACGCTTCACCACCATCCGAGGCTGAGGTTGCCCACGAATTTCGCCTATTAAAGCGCTACAAAGCCCCTGGCCCAGATAAACTCTATCCGGCTCTTTTCGAAGATGGCGGCCCATCATTTGTTCAGGAGTTAACTTCTCTCCTACAAGAGATCTGGGTCACTGAAGTTATCCCATCTGATTGGAGCCTAACGGATATCGTGCCCGTTTTCAAAAAGGGTACCCGAACTGACTGCGCCAACCACAGAGGGATTAGTCTCATATGTGTTGCTTCCAAGGTGCACACAGTTCTGCTTCTACGGAGGCTCAGCCTGGTAGGCGAACAGAGCATACGTGAAGAGCAAGCTAGGTTCCGCTCAGGTCGGAGTTGTATCGATCACATTGTTACACTTCGCCAAATACTCGAACGTCATCAAACATTTGACCAGCCAACGATTGTTGTCTTCTGAAACATACGAGCCGCGTTTGACTCGAGCTGTTCTCCGGAGTTGTCTATTGAGAAGGGGAGTGCCCGAGAAGTATGTCACCTTACTTCAAGCTATCTAATCTCAAACCTCGGCGGACTTTCGCCCCCCTTTGGTATCACCAGTGGCGTGAGAGTGTTGCCCAGCATCCCCCATCTTGTTCAACTTCGCTATAGACGAAATCCTGGAGAGTGCGCTAGAGAACTGCGAACTCAGCGACGTCGAACTGCTTCCGGAGGACCGACTTCGGGATTTGGAGTATGCAGATGACATCGCCGTAATCTGTGCTTCCTTACAGGTCGCCCAAAATGTTCTGTGTATGTTAGAGACGTCTGTCTCCCAGTTTGGAATGACCTTCGCACCATCGAAATGCAAGGTTTTCCGGCAGGTGTGGCCAGGCGCTACTCCTGACTTTATCCTTCTAGGTCCATCATTAGAAGTGGTAGACAAGTTCGTTTACCTCGGAAGCTGCCTCAGCGCTAATGGTTTAATGGATGAGGTCTCTTTGTGCGTCTCCAAAGCTCGGGTTGCTTTTGCCAATCTCCGCCATCTCTGGCGTCGAGGTGATCTGAGTCTAGCTCCGAGGGGCCGAGTTTACAATACCACAATCAGGGCGGTTCTTCTCTATGGCTGCGAGACGGCCTGCTCGCGCAAAGGATGTTGAGAGGTTGTTTTTGATCACCGCTGCCTTCAGAGCGTTGCTGGTGTACGAAGGCAACATCACACTACTAATAAAGATATTCAACGAAGGATTTTCAGATCAGACAGACTTTACCGGCCACTGAGCAGCATAATTTCTCTGCGCAGACTTGAGTGGCTCGGGCACGTTCTCCGCATGCCTACTCATCGCTTACCTCGCCGTGCCCTCTTCGCGCACGCAAACGTCGGCTGGAAGCAAAAGCAAGGTGGCCAACATATGACGGGCCAGGAGCATGGAGCTAACGTCAAAGTTAGCCGTGAGCGGACGCTCTCAGCTCCCTAGCTGGAGTGTGAAGGATCCAGAACACACATGGATGGAAACGTTCTTGGATAGGGCAAGAAGTCGTGCACAATGGCGGACTTGTTGTGACTCATTATTCATATGAACATCGTTTTCCCCCCTCTATCTTAGTATGGTTATTGTATTTTCTATACGTTGTGACACTGCCAATTGTACTATTGGCCGCGTTGAATATATATATATATATATATATATATATATATATATATATACCACTCACCTGCAGAAAACTTTCATCTCGTCACATTCCTGAACGAACAAGTCTACTTCCTTTGGGTCAGGAGGAGAATCGGAATGAGTTGTAGGCAAATGAAAGCCCATGGTATATAATCGGGATAAGGATGATTCAGGATTCGGTTTGCTCTCAACGCGTACGGGTTTTGTCATGGGGATCTTCGCATCTGATAAAAATGAATGAGTGAAATCCGAGGACATTTACCTTGGGAGTTGGCTCCTCTGATGTAGTTGAACAGTTTGAAAAAAGATGATGACATGATGTCATCCATTTTTGAAGCGACTTGTGTAACACACACCCACTTCTGTCTAGGATACAAACGCAGTTCAACATTCTAAGGCCTAATGATGATACGAAGCTATACGCACCTCATCCTTCCATTGCTGCAAGACGTCATAATTAGCTTCCTCAGAAGTGCCGAACAAGCCCATTCGTTGAAATCCAATGAAGGCCAAGATACTAAGGTTGACAGAATAAAAAGTACGTATCAGGTTACGTCGAATTAACTGGATGCACCATCATCAATACAAGTGGATCGAAGGTGAGAGAAACATACCTCGGTAAATGTGCCGCAATACAAAAAGATGAGATTAAATATTACAGATTATAAAAACAAAAAAGTAAAAACGCTAAAAGCAGATTATGCATTGGGCTTGACGTTGATGTTCGAGGGGGAAGCTAAAGAGGAGGGACAAAAAATCTCACAAGACAAACGCCAATGAAGTCGGCTCCTGGTTATGTCAGCTAGTGCATCCAACCAAACGTGGTCATCGTCATTCGGACTCCAGCTCGGCAGTCAGTAAACACCAACGGACGCCAAGTTCGAAATGAGGGGGTTTCATTCCTTTCGACCTTCAAATAGAAGCAGATGAACTGACGTGGTCCGTTTGCCTGGACATAAACCAGAGCGACGCCCTGAAATTGCTTGTGAGTTGAAACTAAAAGACAAGCGACTACTGAAGCAAGACGAGGGAGGACCAAGAATTGGGAAAGGTTGAAAACGGGGAGGATAAAAGTGAAGTTGGAACTAGGCGATAAGGATGAAAAAGCGCAAGAAGAGGAGTAAGACGGGTAGGCTTGAGCAGTAGCATCCAAACTCCTATCCACCCTGCTCGATGCAGCCGATAGGGTGCCGTTGATTACCAACTACGACGGCCGGAGCATCAAGAGATTGTCTGAAGGAACAGTCATGGTGCTGTATTGTGTGGGCAGGATAGTCAGGTTACCCAGGCCTAGATAGGAGAACGATTAGGGTTCTCAACCAAAGCCTTTGGTTCGGAAACCTGACCGCAAGGCAGCGCGTTTGGCAGTGGACTATTAGGAGTCCGTTTTAAGGAATAAGGAGCCATCCTCATTCCAACCCCCAACCTGGAGGGCCAGGATACTTAGTTTATCAGACCTTTAACCATTGAGCAATCCGGCATGAGTGGCTCTGAAGATGCAGAAATGCACCAACCAGGATGGCCCAATGGATCGCTGAGGCACGCAAACCATCGCACCACGGTAAGGTCCAATCGCGTCGCGATGGGACTGTATGCACAACCACTGAACTCCCACATATTCCAGTAGGCAAGTGCTAGAGTGGTGCCTAAAATAGGTACGTTGACAGGATCACTGGATGGTTGAGAGCAAAAGGAAGGTCCTTTGTCAGCTCCATCACTTCCCGATCGTTGCGGAGATAGCCTGGGTCAATGCGGAACAAGGTCCCACAGAGATCTACGGTAGCTGCATTGGAAACAGCTGGATCCCCGCAAACTAAAATGAGAATCCAACAAATGCTTGAAATATTCCTCGGTCTCGGCATCGACGATGAACTCCGGAAGGCAGCTCCAGTCATTCACGACGCGAGTGGATAAAGCCATGCTGGATCGCACTCGATGACTCCTCGGTTTGAACAGTTTCGAACTAATACCTCTTGTCGAACTCAGCATTGAGAGGAAAGAATTTCCGTAATTCCCTCCCCAACTCTCCTCTAAGAATACGTCGGATCAAATTTCTGCGATGACGACGGTAATAAAGGGAAGAGGTTCAGTTGTTTAAGTCGGAGAAAATAGGACAGGTTCCGCAGCTCAGAAACGGATATGGATCCACGCCGTTAAATTTTCTCAATCATATCATATTCAAATTTTGTAAAAGGGTAGGCTGCAGGTAGCCCATATTGGAGAAGCGAGCGTACATGTGAAGTAAACAGAGCCCCGGGGTCACGCATTGCGAAGGCCAAAGCTACCTTCTTGAACCTTCGGCCGCTTTGGCGACAGAAGGGAGTTTCCCTCCGTCTGAAAGGCCGGGTATACAAGGCCACGGTGAGGGCCATTCTGCTCTATGGTAGTGAAACTTGGCCCCTTCGGTCTGAAGATCTGAGGCGCTTTCAAGTCTTTGATCATCGTTGTCTGCGAACCATTGCTGGTGTCGGATGGCACCAGTGTGTCCGCAACGATGATGTGCGTAGGCGAGTACTAGGTAGTGATAATCATGCTAGCACCCTAGAACAACAGATAGCAATGAAGAAGTTGCGTTGGCTCGGGCACGTGCTACGTATGCCTGGTCACCGCTTACCTAGGAGGGCCTTGTTCAGTCTACCAGGTGTAGGATGGCGAAAGGCTTGAGGTGGACAGAAATTGGCTTGGCAGCGGGAAATAAAGTTACTGACGACCAAACTGGGTGCCGTTGGTCCGTCTCGCCTTCCGGGTTGGAGTCCACGTGACTCACCTTGTGCTTGGCTCGAGACATGGACATGGCTCGCAACCGACACCAGTGGCGCGTCTGTTGCCGTCTTCGAATCGGATTGCCTGTTTAAAGTATGTTTGGTGCTGAGTTATTTGCGGGATAATGGCTGATTATGACGCGTTGCAGTGAAAGCCGCAAGGAAGCTGTCTCGCCGATGCCGCCTTATCTTTGCCCGATAGCCAGCTGTTTGTGACGGTATGTTGTCTACACAAGGTGTAGGCGCCTTGACCCTGAATGTTTGCTTAGGGCATTAAGGTTTTCAGGTAATTCCCCCTTCTCTCCCTCTTCTTATTCTTTATTTCATAGGTCCACATGGTTGTATGGCAGCGAAGCATCAGTTCAAATGACTGATGTACTGCTGTTGATGATGGGACCGGAGCTCGTCAACGGCTGTTTTAATTTTAATCCGATCTTCCGGAGAAAGATCTCTCAGGACGGAAAATGGCTCACCTTTCAAACGTGGCGTTCACCGGAAGATGCGTCGGCATTCCTCTTTGCTTTGGCATACGATCTTGAGGGGGTGTACCTTAGAAGGATCCTCTTGCTTCCTACCCTACCTACTCATCGAATAAAATGGAAATCATCCGCTCAAGGAACCCTTGTTCGTCCAATATCCTTTCTGCAGTGTTTGGTGGATTCTGGCGCGTTCACAGTGACAAGACATCGTTCACGATGGTGGTAGAGCGCGGCCAGAGATCTGCGGTTGTGGTGACGCACTGTCCTTGATCAATTTTTCCAACTTTGACTTTGTTGAGAAAAGATTTTATTTGGGACTGGGAAGCAGTTTTCTTGGACGTGTACTTAGACTTCGCTTTAACATTACACATAGCTTGACTCCGACCAATTGGGACAGTAGGAGTTTTTCTCACCACGGCTAGGGTGTCTCAGTCGTGGGCTCACAGTGCAAGGCGAGTGTCAAAGGCTCCCGCTTGATGTGTAAATCAATCCTAAATACTATGAAATCATAGTTTTCTGATATATTAGAGAAGTAAGTGGTTTGCATGTTTGTATGGTGCACGTGTTTGTATGAGACACACCGACAACATCCGGACTTTGTCAGCGGGCGTCGGTTCTCCGATCGTTCTCCGATGTTCGTAGTCTGCGAAAAAAAACTTGAGATCCAGTCGCTTGCCGCAGATGTTTGTCCTAATTTAATGGCCTTCACCGAAACATGGTTATTCCCAGACGTCATTGACTGAAGTGTCTATCCCTGTATACCACCTTTCTCGGGACGATCGTCATTGGAGGAAGTCGGGAGGCGGCGTAATACTCTACTGAAGGGTGGATCTGAAGTCCCATCTAGTTGTGGTCTCATGTGACAATGACAGCGATTTCGATGCTCTTTGGTGCCCCATTCATGACGGGTGCAGATCTTCCTTGATTGATGTCATCTACAGAGCCCAACTGGGCGCGGGAGCTCGCCTGTTGGAACTGATCAAGAAGCACGGCGCTGGAAAGGATTGTTTTATTCTGGGGGATTTCAATGCTCCCAATATCGACTGGGACCTCCTTCTTTGCAATCGTCCACCTGATTCCTTTGATGTGTTCATGGATTTCAATAAGGCTTTTGATAAGGTCCCTCATGAACAGCTTCTCTACAAACTCCGAGGAATCGGTGTCACTGGAAACTTTCTCTCGTGGATTCCCGATTTCCTGCGCAGTCGTTCCATGCTGGTGAGAGTGAACGAAACGTATTCCGATTCTGTACACATGACCAGCGGTGTCCCACAGGGCTTCGTCCTCGGCCCCGAACTCTTCAACATCTTCACCAACGATCTACCGTCTGAGCTTCAATCGGATTGCTTGATTTATGCGGATGATCTAAAGATATGGAAGGAAGTATCCTCTCTAGAGGATGCTGATCAACTACAAGTGACGCTCGATCTCCTGCACAATTGGTCGATTCAGTGGCGCTTACCCATTAATCAAGACAAATGTTCCGTCGTGCCTATCGGCGCTCTTGAACCATTCGGCGCGTATCATATAGGTGGTTTCTTGCTCAAAAATGTCACTTCAGAGAGAGATCTGGGCGTGATTGTTTCCCCAGACTTAAGATCCACTCAGGACACCATGAAGAGGGTTGCCGCTGCCTACAGGATGTTTCACGCCATCCGAAGAGTTTTCTGTCGCTTGACACCGGAACTTTTTAGACTTCTGTTCACCTCGCATGTGCGCCCGATTCTGCTGCCTACCCGCTTTCCAAATTTGAGCGCGACATGATCGAAAAAGTCCAACGGCGTGGATCGAAGTTTGTCTCCGAGTTACGTGACCTGCCATATCCCCCTCGGCTTCGGCATTTGAATGTTTTTTATGGATTACCGTCGTCGACGTGGGGACTTGGTTTTTACCCGTCGTATCCTCAGGGGAGAGCTAGGGAGAGTTGCAGAAATTCTTGCACCTCAACACTGGGGGTTCGACTAGAGGCCACCGATGGAAAATATTCAAACCACGGAGGTTCAAAATACGGCCCATTCTTGCTCTATCTACTCGCGTTGTGAATAATTGGAACCGGTTACCGCCGCCCGTCGTTGATGCAGACGGAGGATTGCTTCAAAAGACTACTTGATTCACAACTGTTGAATATGTCGGGGTCGTGTTGCTTCAGCTACGAGTGCGATGACCTCTCCGGAGTTCCCGTTGCGCAATGACGAGCATCCCAGCAATGATCGGGAAGCGATGGAGCTGACAATGGATCTCCCTGCTGCTCTCTACCACCCAATGAACCAATCGCAC